TTCACTTTCCTCACTTGAGATCTTTGTTACTTGTTTCAGCAGTGCTTCATCAGTTACTGTGTGATCTGTGAGCAAAGGTTTCAATTCACTTCTGATGTCGCTGTACTTCGGAAGGAAACCTTGGTGAATGGTACGCAGAAACACATTCTGAACTGTTCGTGGCTCATATTCAATGTTAGTGTTGCTCTGCTTGGAAGTGAAAATTACTTTCTGTTTCAGTCCGATTACACGATATAGAAACTGTTGTGGAGTTTCATGTTCCCGTTGTCTTGTACTCATTAATTCCTGGAAAAGCTCACTACTGCCTCTCTCACTTAAATGCGACTGTAGGAAACTTTTCAACTCTGGCACAGTCAGATCATCTTTATTGATGAGCATTTCCTTGAACTGTCCTGGTTTCACTATCCGCAGGACAGCCTGAATGATTTCACTCTCCGAGTAATTCATCTTGATGCCTTCATCAATTTGTTTACATAGGTTATTGTAGCCACCATGTATCTTGAACTCTTTATGCGGTAGGTATGGAAAGTCTCTTGGACACATCATGCTTTCTCTCTGCTGTCGTGGTAAGTATTCAGGGTAATAAAACTGCCTTGTAGCTGGTATCGTTTTATCATCTGCCTGTGTGATCTTGTACTCTGACAGCTTTTTTCCTAACTCCTCATAACTTGCAATCAGTTTCTGATACTCATTTAACTGTGTGTGTGAGAGTGTGGCAGTAGAATCTGTGTGTCTATGTATAGGGGATGCCCGTGTGTGTGTATGTGCATCAAATTCATTCTCAATAGAGACAGATGGTTCACTCACGGTATTGTTAACACGACTCTCAATCAATTCATTAATCATTTCTCTTAATGTTAGTAATTGTGCAAATCCTTCATCTTCCAGTTTAAGTAAACTGTCACTCTGCATATAAGAAATGATGAGATTTGGAGATAGTGGTTGGAATCAAACCTGCAACTGGAGTGATGCTGTAAGCGATATGCCCCAGTTTGTGCACAGTCAACATGTGTAGGCTCTTCTTTATGTTCCAGACAAGTCTTTTCCTCTCGTTTGCCATCTTGTCCAGCTTCAGACCCTCTCACGACTCTGTAGCGATGCGCCGCCTTCCACTCAGCTCGGTCCCTTTTGGCTCTCTGGACATCAGCAGCCGTCACAAGTCGCACGCAACCCTCCATTTCGTCTTTTCGTCGCCATGAAGCCTGGATCCCAGCACTAGCCTCACACTCTGGATGTAGATCTTGGTGGAACCTCCATGAATCCGGGGCGCAGAACATAGGCAGATTAAAAGTACCTGAATTATCAGGAGAAGCAAAAGCACATGCAAACTTCAGTGTCTTTCTGCAGGCTCAGCTTGGTAGCGTCTAACGTAAACACAATGCGCATCACAATGGTAACTCACAGCGCGTGCTTTCTCTGGTGGCTAGAGCTGAACTGATTCAAACTCAGTCTTTAGTGGTGATAATTGATAGATGACTGTGTGCACAATAAACTCTTCTTCACATCATAAATAAATAAATAAATACATATTAATAACAAAACAAACATTGCAATTGTGAATCACATGTGTATCACACTGGCAGTGGGCGAAATCACACAGACCAAAACCAAAACAGATATTCCGACACGGAATGCACATTTCAAAGTAGAACAACCGGCTTTTTTGGAGAAACAAGTATGTGAATTTAGCATGTTTCCTAAATATCTGCAAATATATTAAGGTATTTTATGCTTTAGTACAGTCAAAAAAATACATACAGCACCTTTAAACAGGCTGGGGCACACATTCAACTGCAAAATGGGGTAACTGCAAGTTTAAATACTGTGCTGCAAATATATAATAACTATAATGACTGTGTGTAAATCTTCAGGTGTGATGGATGGGTTTACACCTACAGAGTTTTCAAACAAAAGGATGGACTCTGGACAATAGAGGTACGGATGGATTTTTGGACCTTGTAACTTTGTACTTTTCCTCAAGTGAAACCTAAAATTACATGTCTTTTGATAAAAACATACTTCTGTCTTAAGGCATAGTTCACCCAAAATGTAAATTTCCCCATGATTTACTCATCCTCAAGCCATTCTAGCTGTATGACTTCCCTCTTTAAATCATGGGGTAATTTTCATTTTTGGGTGAACTATACCTTTAGCATATGTTTTGTGTGATGTCATTTGTAATACAGTACAATATGTTTCTGAGCCTCAAATGGCACGACCTTGTTATACTGTCAATACATTATCCATTATCAGTCGCTGTTCACACCAAATGCAATAAAATCAGAATCATTCTCACCGAAATTTCGGTGCTTGCCTTGTTACATGTTTTATTCAGGTTAGTTGTCTGGTCGGGCAAGTAAAATTCCCTTTCACTTGGTCCCTCAAAAAATCCACTTGTCCTGGACAAGCATTAATGTTGAGGTCTGTTAACTGTATATAAAATTCAGCCTGCCAAATTGGCTATAGTGGGAGTGACCATGTTACCCATTTGGCAGGTGTTAATGTCAAGCCCTGATGGTGATGATACGAGCCAATAGAACAAAATGTTTTAAAGCATATATTTCTTTTTTACTTACTAAAAACGCATGCATGTAGTTCCGAATTATTTTTAAATTATTTTATTTTTAAACTATTTTACATATGCTTACTTCCCCTATATACAAAATGTTTTAAAGCATATATTTCTTTTTTTTTTTACTTACTAAAAACGCATGCATGTAGTTCCGAATTATTTTAAAACTATTTTACATATGCTTACTTCCCCTATATAGTCCTATACAAAAAAACTGTACATCAAATGAGTATAGGCTATTGTCTGAATAGTCAGTATTCATGTTACAGTAAGCAAACAATACCCAAATGACAGACTGCTTCTCCTAAGATTCTAAATTGTGCAATCTATAGTTTAGACACTATAGTGTACGCTATTCCATAAGGTCACAGCAGCTAAAGAGCTGTCATCAGGCCGGAATTAAACATATATCACTTCTGCTCTTGTCCATGGGCCCCACATCCAGGTGGACACCATGCGGGGCACCTGCGTACCAACAGAATTGTCAATGGTTAAAAAGTAAGTTCTTCATTAAATTCAGTATTGTATTCTCTAAAGACACAGCTCATATCTAAAGTAAACCTAAATAACACATAACACTGTTGTGAGAACCAGTTTTGCCTGTTTGGAAATGCTTATTCATTTCCATAAATGTTTTCACCCAGATCTCACTATTGTGAGAGAGATAGATAGAGAGAGAGAGAGAGAGAGAGAGAGAGACTGAA